GTAGAGAGGGAGTGGGGGGAAGGGGAAAGGGCTCCGGGGTGCAGAAGCGAAAAATGTCTAGGGGCGGCCAGCCCCCCGCCTTGCCTCGCGCCTTTACTGCGCTACGGGGCGCATCACGGAGATGGTTGGCTCTTCTCTTTGCACCGAGGGGTCGGGCCCGGAGGGGCAGCGAGACAGAGAGATGCCCTTGGGTGGAGGTGGTAGAGAGGGAGTGGGGGGAAGGGGAAAGGGCTCCGGGGTGCAGAAGCGAAAAATGTCTCCCCTCAAGGAGAAGCGGGGGAAAGCCGCAGGCCGCAGGAGAAAGGGGGATCCATCTACGCTGGGCAGTCGGGGAAGGTAACCCCAGGGGGCTCAGGAGAATGAGCCTAGGGCGCCACGTTGCAGAGAGGTCGGGAATGGGCTCCGGGGTGCAGGAGAGTGCGACGGGCCTACAGCTCCCGAAGATTGTGGGGTCCCAGGACCCAGGGAAGTCGGGGAGGGGGGAAGAGAAGCGGTCCGTGGGGCGAAAAAAAAGTGGGGGCCCCAGACGTGAGCCAGGCGCTGAGAGGTGGGGACAGGGCTCTTGGGACGGGGACTGGGCATACGGGAAAGAGACCCGGCGGTGGAGAAGGGGCCCAGAACAGGCGGCGCTCGCGGCGCCAGAGTTCAGAGAGGAAGCGCTGGGTGCAGGGACCTCATGGGGAGGAAGGGCCCCGGGTGCAGAGGTGGGGGCCCTGGGCACAGGGGGGAGGGGCTGATAAGGCCGCAGCGATGCGCTGCAGGGATCCCTCTCTGGTGCCCAAATTCGTGCAAAGGGCCTGATTTTTGTGTCAGAAACTCTCCCGCGTGCAGACAATGGAGCGGGGTGTTTACTGAGCGCGGGGAAGACAATTAGCAATTCATCGGGAGAGATGTGTCACCCAAATGTCACAGGGAAGCTAACATGACATCTGTTTTAATGGCTCCTTGCTAATAAACTCCTCTCGAAGGGCGTCTTTGTAGGGACGTCAAAGATTATTTACAGAATGAGTCAATTTCTAAATGGTTTCCTGATCGCTGGGCTGAGCCGCTGTAGGTGGTGGAGAGGACCCGAGTAGATTTAGGGGGGCAAGTCTCCCTCCTCCCGGCAGGCGGATGCTGGGGGAGGCTGGAGTAGTCCTCATTGTGCAGAGCTGCAGAAAGAAGGGGGATTAGACCTGCTCGCCAGAGATTTACAGGCAAACAAGGCAACGCAGAACACAGGGGGCTCCCCTCTAGTCCCCCCTTCTCCCCTCCATGTCCCCGCTAGGAGCCGGGTGCCCGGCTGAGCTGTGCCAGTTCCCGTGCGCTGCTCTGTGCCCGGAGTCTCTGAGCTCTCGACCTCCCTCTACCCTCAGCAGCCTCCTCCCGCGATTCTTTCGTCTCGCCGGTGCAGCCTATACACCGGCACTTTCTTCCTTTGAGCCACTTTACAGACCCTTCTCTGGGCCTGGCTGGTTTCTTTCCCTCCCCGACCCCCAAACTCGGGGCTCAGGCCCTGGCGACCGGGCTGTGGAAAGCGGCCAAACTGCGCAAGTGGGTTTTTCCAAGACCCTGCCGGGCCCAGGTTCACGGTCACTAGCCCCTCGGACGTGCCTGGTTGGATCTTGTTTAGCTCGCTCCCCCCAGCTCCAATGTCCCCTTTTCACCTCTTCCCCTTCGTCCTTTGCGTAACCGCTTAACCCCTCTGCTCTTCTATGTTTGCCAACTGGCTTCCTGTTCTTTCAACTGCGCAAGTGGGTTTTTCCAAGACCCTGCCGGGCCCAGGTTCACGGTCACTAGCCCCTCGGACGTGCCTGGTTGGATCTTGTTTAGCTCGCTCCCCCCAGCTCCAATGTCCCCTTTTCACCTCTTCCCCTTCGTCCTTTGCGTAACCGCTTAACCCCTCTGCTCTTCTATGTTTGCCAACTGGCTTCCTGTTCTTTC